TACTTTGTGATTTTATACTTAATTAATGGTTCCCTTTAAAATTTTAGTGCAATACTTTGAATGAAATTTAAGAAGCACGCGGTGATATATAGAAATTTTCATTAAAATAGGAGTATTTAAATCATAAACAGATTAGCAAATATAGTAAGCGCACAATGTTCTTTTATGATCACAAAATATCCAACAAAACAACGCGTCAAAATACACAAAATACAATTAATTTATGTTACTCTTGTTATACTTTTATAATTTTCTAACTCTTGTATTTTGTATATTTAGAAGCTGATTTGTTTTAGGTAAAACAATCTTTGTCGAATTTATATCGATATCATTTATCATGACGAGGAAACATTCACGAAATATGATATACAAATAATTACACTACAGTCTGAAAGAACATAAATGTAAATTATTTATAAACAGTTCAATCATTAGTAGCCTTTTCGCCGTATAGTTTACCTAAATGCTGCTTCAAAGTATTAACTGCTGGAATTTGATTTTGAAAAAACAAGCAAAAGAAAAAACTTAACTTAACCATCATCATAGTCTGCTAGTTAAGACTGTTATAATAATAAATGTGAGTGAAATGCAGTGAATAGTTTTAATATTTTATTTTATTGTTAACCATTGGTTAAAAAACACAGTCACAAATTAAATTTAATTTTATAAAAGCATCAAAAGCATTGCAGTTGTGAATCTATCGAAATCTGTCCATCATTACAGCTATGTCCTCGTGTGTGTAAGGACATTACTCTATATTGTCTTCATGTTTACATTTTGATGTTGTCTTCTTAATTATGTTTTTATTAAAATTATTATTATACATACTGTATGCAATGCTTTTACATGTAAAGAAACACTTGGTGTGAAAAATAGACAGAAAAATTGCATATATGGCGCGTAAGTTCGATCCAAATAGCGGCAATGAATTTTGCGATGAAAACAAAATATAATCTTTATATTGTTTATTATTAATTAAAAAACGGGCGAAATAGAGTGCACAATAACACGAATCTATTGGTGTTGCAATTAAACAATTAAACATTTTCTGTTGGATTTTTTATGCGTAGATCTTTCAAAATGTTGGTGATATAAAAATGTTTCTCTTAATGATCAACACATACAAAACTTAAATGCAAGACTTACACATTGCCGAAATCCGGTCGTTCTTAAAAAAATTATCAATGACTGTAAATAAGAGGGATAACACAACAACAAATATAACTGTGGTGATTATGGGCTGGATATTTACCTCCCCTATTTCAACATGATTGTCACATATCTGTAGTTACATACATAATAATTGTTTTACTGAAACACACAGCAAGTAAGATACTTAGACCTCTTGACTTCTCGACCCTTTAAGACATTAGGATTACTTTTAGACCACTTGACCCTTAGACCATTGCTTCCATGACTTTTCGATCCCCCAGTCGGTAAAGGATTTTGACCCCTACAGTACTTTATAAAGCCAGGAAGATAATACTTTGAAAAGATAAAGTAATGAATTAACATTATTTCTTAAGTGGATAGGTATTGGCACATTTTTCATTTACTTTTTTTCAAATATTGATATTAACAATAGAAATTAGTCATTTAGATATTCTTATAAAAAACAGCTAAAGTTAAAGATGATAAATCATAATATTTTGTTAACAAACATATTATGTTCTTTATTATACCGGATTATCACCCTTGCCAACAACTTGTATATATAATGCTTGGGTGGTTTGTTCGTATGTCTTACACTAAATGCGTTCAACATATGTATTCATCATACATGTATTATAAAACTTTCATTATAGACCAAGGAATTTTAATTCCTTTACTTTTGCTACATGGCAGTGATACTGTTGTGTATGTGGGGGGTATAAAAATGGAGAGTAATCGTCCTACAGTAACTACTACCAGCAATAATAACGATGGTACATGTATCTACCATACTCGCCCGAAAACGTAGCATTTGAAGTTTGTTGTTTAACACCTAAACATTGTTACAAAATTTGATCAGAAGTTTATCTACTTCTTTAAGATACATCTGAGCAAAACGAAATTATTGGTACAACCATACAATCAAAAAGGGCTTATTTATAGTTTTAATATTTAGGTTTACTCGTAAACGACTTGTTAAATTGAGTTATAAGCCTCTAGATTTGATAAACTGATGATATTTTAACCGATTTTATCAAATTGCGTGTAAAAGTAGAATTATCACAAAAATAAGTAAAAATTTCAATAACTTCTGCACTATAAACATTTCATTTGTAGGGTACTGCGATGTTGATAAGACAACGATGGTGGGGGCAATATGGACAGAGAGTATACCGTTCTGGGCGACGTCGTCGAACAACACCATATTGAATCTTACATTCGGGGACCAGGTCTGGCTCGTGCTTCTTAAGCGTGTGCCATATATCCATGGTAACATGTATTCGTCTTTTTTCTAGGTATTCATTATTTGACACAGAAATAATGAAAACGAAGCACCACAAGACTATTATAAAATTAATGCGAAGTCTTAAGCTAGTAAAAATTGTAAAAGTTTGCAAATTAACATTTTTTTTTTAAAATATGCAAGAAACGATTTTGATTCAGGTTATCATAAGTTTTTATTTTTTGAAAAAAAATTCTGAAGAAAGAAAATATAAGAAACAAATACCATTAACGGGAAAGGATATCTTATTGTAGAAAACGACACGGCCTTTCTTAAAATTTATACAAATAAGGTTTTTTTCATTTTCTTTATAAATATCGGCATTAGCAGTATTAAAGGACATTTATAGAATAAAAATCATAAAACATCGAACATAACCAAAAGGCAAAAACAGAATAACGCCATTTACATAGGAATTGCGAAGAAGTAAGTCCGATCTGCACAATAATCAACATTACGGAGCATATTTTCAAAATGATTGCGATAACTGTAACTGACGGCTTGTATGAACTTACTTTTTCTGATCAGTTTAACAACTATAAGTTCTATATTGATATACTATTGTGATTTGTTTTGGGGGATTCAAACTAGCAAATTTTCAGTTTTCAATTATATATCCTTTTGTTTATTTAATGTTATGTATATATTGAATATTTTCTTGTTTATTTAATATTCTTTTGTAAATATGTAGACGATGCAATGAATATTAATAAAGACATTATTGTGTGTATTGAATCTAAATTATTATCAATCGAACGGTTTCAAACAAAAAACGATTTAGAAAATTAAAAGAGAATGGCTTGTTAAATAAGGGCTTGAATCTATATTTTACTGTAAATTTATTTTCATGTTTAAATGTGCAAAATTCTTTAGGTGGTAGAATATAGCCAAATATTATTATATAGTATATTTTTTCTTTTCTTTTTTGGAACCACGTTTAAGGCCCTTTGATTTTTTATTTACTTTTCCTTTTTACATAATAAATTCATTTTACATTTTTCAATTAATTATTTAACATAACATACGTTACAAACTAATATATATGTTGTTGTAGACATTTTAAAATAATTTCAAAGAGCTTAAACGTGAATCTCTTTAAGAAAAGTTAAGAAAAAAGATATTATATTTTAAACAAGATTGAGTTTTGTTAAATTAATTTTAAAAAATTGTCTTGAGTCAGTTGGAAAAATGCTGACAATTTGGGGAGGTGCTAAAAATATGTTTTTTTTACATAAGTTTTTTTCTCTTGCAAATAAAAAATAATCTACTGAAAAAGGGACATAACACCATGTTATTAACTGATATGGTAATTCTGTAACAAACGCAACTTGATAAGGTTGTCAAGAGATACACATCATGAAAACAAGACATGCGTTGTTTGTAAAAACATCAGACCATGTCATAAACACACGTTGAGTCTTTTTCTATTTAAAAAAAAACAAGTTTTTTTACAGTTCAACAGTGTGTTAAAATCAGCCTGGACATCAAGTTTATTGTGTTGCTTATGATTGACTTTATCTAATAAATATAATTCATGATAAACATATGAGATAGGTTGATGTTAATATCATTGACAGAAAAGACTTTTTAAAGGGTTAAAAGTAATGTTTGTATAACAACATTTCAACAGCAGTGAAAAAGATATAAATGTAAAATTTATTCCAGTTATATATTTAAACTGAACATAAATTCTGTTAATTTATGAAAACTATATAATATAAATACATGTGACAATATGTTTATACTAATATATTACAAATGTAGTCGATGTATTCATTTGCTTTAATTAAATATTTTCTATCTTGCACATAATATACAAATGCATTTTAATGTACAAACCTTGTTATCTTTTGAAAGTATTTTACGTTTAAAGAGCAGAATAGAATAGAAATTTATAAAACAACATAAAGAAATACTCGTACTATGATACTTTTGAGTAAAGTAATTATATTGCAGATATAATACAAATTACACTATGCCTTCATGATGTGTTTAACTATAATGTGTAGCGTTTTTAACATGTTATAAAAATTACACAGAGGCCGTTTAGCAAATATCAATATTCTGAAATATCAAACTTGAGCATAATTGAGCATAATATATCTTTCCATTGTTTTATTTGTCAAAATGTTAATACGAAAATATTTACATTATTAGTGATTATAACCAATTTTTTGCCATTGATATAACGTAACTAGTATATATTAATTGTTTTCATGGACATAGAACTGTAATTGCTAAATAATACATACAAGCAAAACCTACATAAACATAAAGTTCTCTTTTTTTTGCTATAATAAATTGATATAAGCCTTTTTTTGCCTTTAAGATACTAACTAATATTAACAATATGCAAACTAAAGCATTATATGAATAATATTTTTTATAACATATAGACCGTTATGGATAAATCGTCAATTTTCGACTTATTTCACAAAACAATATGTTTCTAATAGTCTCAAAAATGTATTGAAGCAATTTACATCAAAAAGTTTACTTTTAATGCCAGTTTATAACACTGAAGTCCGATTTTACTTCCGTCAATGTGTATTAATTTATTTATAACTCAGTAATTGACAAGTACTCCACTAAATGTGTTCATCCTTAGTGAGTCTTGATGAAGCTGGTAACTAGAATGATACGTTGTTGCTTTAACCCAAACCTTTTCTCCTGACCTAACTCTTATTATTGCTCCAACTGAACCACAACCATGACTAGCATCACCATAGTGTGCATGTAATGCTATAACGTTACCATCCAACACCAGGCCAAGATATGCATATTTATTATGTATAGTACATATATGAACATCAAACTTGTACAGTCCTCCAACAGGTGCCGTGAACAATCCCGTAGACGTGTCGTAACCAGTTCCCTCGTTAGTGAATGTCTTCCCGAATATGAGAATCTCATCCGTTGTATCAAGAAACATGTCTTTCAAGTGGTGTGCGTAGAATGCGACTGGGGGTTGAGCAAGTTTTTCTGAGTAAAGAAATAAAAAAAAATATATCAGAAAATTTATATACTTTCATTAATGTTATATTTTGTAAAACAAGTCGTTTTCGGTTTATTTTTTACAATCCATTGTCATATCTAAAATTCTAGTTTATGGTAATCAAGGATAGTCAATTCTCATGTTAAAAATTTATTTGAATTAATGCGTTTTTACATATAATCCTTGGCACGTCAAATATTTCAATATCTAAATCGCAGTGCCTACGCAAATGACAAACCATTATATTTATATCAGCCAATATGTGATGAGCGTACATGCAAAAGGAAATAAATAAGAATGTAAATGGAAATAATTCAAAAATAGAATATGTTTGTTTTTTGTGTTTTTGTTTTTCTTTTGGGGGGGTGACGTCACATCGACACAGTATAGGTCATATCGCGACGTTCCAGCTTTACTGGTGGAGGAAGACCTCAGGTGCCCCTAGGCACGAACAGGCACCTGAGTAGAACCACCGACGTTCCGTAAGCTAGCTGGATAGCTTCCTCACATGAAAGAATCCAAAGTTCATCTCTGGACTCGAACCCACAGCGGTGACGAGCAAGTGATTTGAAGTCAACGACCTTAAACACTCGGCCACGGACGCCCAAATAGAATATGTAAATTTAAATGAAATCATTTGAATGTTTAATAAGAGCTACAAATTTACATTTGGAGTAACAAATAAGATCAATCTTGTTTGCTGTATGTCATAGCCCAAGTGATACACAAAGAGAATGCATGGACCAAGTCAGCGACAATTAAATTTGCTACAAAGATAGCTATGAATCAAACACAATTTTAGAAAAGAAATAGAGTAGATAACAATTAGTCTAGTAAAAATAAAATATGACCCAGAACTAATTGCAAAAGTTTTGAATCTTTGTTCATTGAATAGGTCTGGTATATGTATATGTCAGAAAAAAAGTTGCACGTATAATTCTGTGCACAACTTTTTTTACAAGCGTTCAAAGTTCACGAATTTTAACTTTATATTTTAAGACCCGAACTGTACACCATACACGCAGTTTTTTCCTATGACGTAACAATTTTACGTAGGCACGCGCGTCATTGAAAACTTGTCAATATATGATTTCGTGAAACTTCCTTCGAAAAATAAATATCATTTTTCATCAACAATAGCGTTTGGATGGCAAGGTAAGTTTGTTTCGTGTATTTTACATTTACTTTTATCATTTATGCCTTTTACTGTCAAATAAGTGCCATAGTTAAATATAACTACGATTTTATGTTAAATATTTTTGGAAATAAACAGCAAACCAATATCACCAGTAAATGTTAGTATTTGATTTTATTATATTCATAAAATGAACGATATATATATATTTATAAGAAAACGATGTTAATAAGACATATTTAACTGTTACGAGCCAGGCGTAACGAGAAAGAAAAGCCAGCAACAAACTTGTAACAATAACAAATTTATTACAGAAAAATTATTAAAGTAAAAATAAAATAACAAATTATCTTTACAAATACCTGAAGTCCAAATAAAAATTACAAATGTCTAGTCTGATCCTGGAATGATCCTTTTTTAATAGCACAGTTAAATCCAAGTTAAATCCAAGAACACTTTAGAAAAAATTCCCACAATAAAATCCACAAGAATAATTAATAATCCAAGCTCCAATAAATCACTTAATTTCCAAGTTGAATAATACTCCAAATATATTGATTTCTAAAAGATCACTGATGACTTAAAAGGTAACTGATGACTTAAAGATAAGATTAATGAAAAATGTCTCCTTATATATATTACCTAAGAAGTTTCCAGAAAGGTCTATTATGTTCTCAAGTAATCATAATCTAGCAACTTCAACAATAAAGATCATTCCAGAAGTTTCTATCTAAATATAATGCATGAGTTTTCTACAACAGTTAAGAACCTTCTAGTACATACATGTAGTTTATGTTCTAAAAATAGAACAATGATAATATTGGAAATACCAACTGGTCAGATATAAAGTATATACATGTAATATGTTGCATACATAACACTTCCCCTCTTCAAAAAAAAAGAAATATGAATGAAATGAATATTTCTTTTACATAAATTCAAACAATGTAACTTACAAATAACATAGGAGAAATGTAAAACAATTTTATACATTCATATATATGTGTATTACAAACAATAGCAAACAACAACAAAAAAAATAACCAATCATATCATATAAATGCTATTACAAACAATAGCAAACAACAACAAAAAAAATAATCAATCATATCATATAAATGTTAAATTTAAAATACTGCAAATAACAGTTTTAGACACGTGAAAGTGCATCAGGGATCAAATTATCTTTCCCTTTAATGTGTCTAATGTCAAGACTCTATATTCTTGCAAAAATAAGCTCCACCTCAACAACCTTTGATTTTTGTTTTTAAGTTTATGCAAGAAAGTGAGGGGTTGTGATCACTAAAGACAACAACAGGCAACTTTGAAGAAGTTAGATAAACTTCAAAATGCTGAATAGCAAGAATAAGAGCAAGGCACTCTTTCTCTATAGTAGAGTAATTTTTCTGATGTTCATTTAAACTTTTTAGAAAAGTAACAAACAGGATGGTCAACACCATTGTTGTCTTCTTGGATCAATACACTTCCAGCACCTATGTCACTAGCATCTACAGCTAACTTAAAGATTTTTTTAAAATCTGGTGCCAAGAGAACTGGTGCACTCTTAAGTATGGCTTTAAGGCTGTCAAATGCCATTTGACACTTGTCATTCCAAATGAATTTGTTTCTTTTCTTTAGCAAATTTGTCAATGGTTCTGCAATAACCGAAAAATTATTACAAAATTTACGATAATACCCTGCCATACCAAGAAATCGCATCAGTTGTCTTTTACAAGTTGGCACAGGAAATTCAGAGATAGCTTTGACCTTAGCTTTTATTGGTTTTACTTTACCCTGTCCCACTACATGTCCTAAAAATGTTAAAATCGCATGACAAAATTCACTTTTTGCAAGATTAACTGTCAATTTAGCATCACTAAGTCGGTCGAAGAATGCTCGTATAGTTTTGAGATGTTCCTCCCATTCATCAGAATAGATGATTGCGTCATCAATGTATGCGTCACATCCGTGTAGACCAGATATTACCATGTTTATTAGCCTCTGAAAAGTTGCTGGTGAGTTTTTCATACCAAATGGCATAACTTTATATTGATACAAGCCGTCTGGTGTTACAAAGGCTGATATTTCTTTAGCTCTATCAGTAAGTGGAACTTGCCAGAATCCTTTTAGAAGATCAAACTTTGTTACATACTTTGCTTTTCCAATTTTGTCAATACAGTCATCAATTCTTGGTATAGGAAATGAATCAGTTTTTGTTACAGAGTTCACTTTACGATAATCTGTACACATTCTATATGTTCCATTTGATTTCGGTACAAGAATACATGGAGAGCTGTAACTGCTTTGACTTGGTTCAATAAAGTCATTATCCAATAAATACTGAACTTCTTGTCTTAGGTACTTTTGTTTTACAGGATTTGTTCGATATGGATGTTGTTTTATTGGTTCAGAGTTTTCAAGAATGACGTCATGATGTATTTTGTCAGTTCGTGTGGGAATATCAGGAAATAAGTGTTCATATTCATAAATAAGCTGTTTCAGTTCATCTCGTTTCGACGGTTCTAAGTGAGCAAGTTTTTCATCCAGATTTTTCAGAATATCAGAGTTTTTCAAGCTTCGCTGAACCAGGATCAGACTTTTCAAAATTTTCACACCTATTAGATTCAATTGAACATTGATTTTGTGGAACAGAGTTTACAAAAGATATAGGTTTACTAATTTTGCTATCTCTGTCAAAATATTCTTTTAACATATTTATATGACACATTTGCTTTTGCTTTCGCCTCCCAGGAGGTATTAATAATATAATTAAGGTCACTGACTTTCTTTTCAATAGTATAAGGACCAAAGTATCTTGCCTGTAATGGTTTTCCAGGTATAAGGTAAAAGAGCAAGTACTCTATCACCAGGGTTAAAACTTCTTTCCAGAGCATTCTCATCATACCTTGATTTCATTTTACTTTGTGTTGATTTTAAATTAAGCCTAGCTAACTCACATGCATTAGTCAACCTATTTCGAAAATCTGATACATATTGAAGCAAATTTAAAGATATGTCATCTTCAGACAGGAATTTCTCTTTTAGAAGTTTTAAGGGTCCTCGGACAGTGTGACCAAATACTAATTCAAAGGGCTGAAGCCAAGAGATTCCTGAACAGATTCTCTTACAGCAAATAACAATAATGGATGCCTTCATCCCAGTCTTTTTCCGTGTCAAAACAATATGACCTAATCATATTTTTCAGAGTCTGGTGAAATCTTTCTAATGCACCTTGACTTTCAGGGTGATAGGCTGAAGACCTATATTGAGTAATTCCTAACTCGTGCATGACCTGCTGGAAAATACCAGACATAAAGTTTGACCCTTGATCAGACTGTTCTGACTTAGGTAAACCAACAAATGTGAAAACTTCACAAGAGCCTTGACAATAGTTTTGGCTTTAATATTCCTTAAAGGAATAGCTTCAGGGAAGCGTGTAGAAGCACACATTATAGTTAATAAGTACTGAGAACCTGATTTAGTTTTTGGTAATGGACCTACACAGTCAATAATAACTCTACTAAAAGGTTCATCAAATGCAGGAATAGGCTGTAAATGAGCTTTTAGGTATTGTCTGATTAGGTTTTCCAACCATCTGACAAGTATGACAAGATTTTACAGTACCTAGATACATCTGCTTTAAGGCCAGGCAATAAAAATGATTGAGAATTTTATGGTAGGTTTTATTAACACCTAAATGACCTGCCATGGGTGTTTCATGAGCCAAGCTTATATTTCCTGGCGATATGATTTAGGGACCACAATTTGGTGATTAACTGTCCACTCCTCTTCAGCAGGGACATCGGGCGGTCGCCATTTTCTCATTAAAATCCCATTCTTTTATAATAACAA